TCCCAGCTATCCCAAACTCTGAATAGTGCAGGGATAGTAAATGAGTCAGCTCATACACAGGTGCACCAGCAGATCACAGCCTTTAAACATGATTATATAGAAAAACCAGTTATGAACCATAACCTTATATGGTTTATAGGTGAAATGGCCAACAAACAGTGAAGCTTTCCAACTTCTAAAGTCACAAGTACAAGCTCCCCTCTGGGAGCCTCCAATTTCCCAGGTCAAACCACCAGGTTATGATTTACAACTGGTCCCATGGAGGGCAGCCAAATGGTGAGCCTGGAAGGAGACAAGAATTCACACCTCAGGCTCCAAACTCCAGGGTTTAACTCTTCTGCTACTGCAGCTCCAGGCAGGATGCCGGGATTTTTGCATTTGCATAATGCCTCCACATGAAAAAATTATACCATTCAGGCCATCATGCCTCAATATTCCCAATTATATTAAAGTAAACAGTTTCCCATCAGCCCAAGATACACAGGAAGTTACCTGAACCTTTCACATTTCAAGTATCACCAGTGTGTCCCCCCATGTAGTTTCTCAGATGGGAAAAATTATTCCCAAGAATAATAATCAGTACAAAGGAAGAGAAATAAGGAGAAAAATTTCCATTAGAAAAGAAATTAATTCTGGGAAACTCATTCATTCGATGTGAGATATAGATTAGAATTCAGTTGCCAAAAGCTTACCTACTCAAAATTCATCATTTCACATTATGCATAATGATATATCCACAAAGTTGCTCTGTTTCTCATTATTCTTGAATTGCTGATCTACACTCTTTCCAAAAGTGACATTATGCTATCTTGCAGTCAACTCTGACCAATTATTTAGCACATTTAAGAAAGCAGAACCTGTACCAAATCAAGCACTAAACCAGGAGGATAACACTGCAAAACCAGAACAATTTCCAAATGTCATTCAAACTGAATATAGGCCTCTTCATTAATCCTCCAACATTTGTCAAATACGAATTTTAAAACCTGTATCATATCAAGTGACTTTACACTAAGCAAAATTTAAGCAAAGATAGGAAACCATCAATAACTTTTGATAAGCCTTGAGGTATTTCAAAATAAAACCAAAGAAACTTATCAAGCCTGAATTCGGAAATGTTTTTGATCTTCTTTAAAAATAAGAAACTTCCTTTTACAGCTACGGCCCTGATGTTGTAAAATGTATGCAGTTTTCAAAACCCAAACCTCAGGTGATCTGGGGATGTGTGTGCCAAGAAAACATCTTTATGCTATGGAAGGGATCTCTGCATCTGGAGCAGCAATCCTCATACACAAAATAAAGAGCCACGGTCTAACAGGAGACCCATTCCAAGGAGGTGGATGTCACCATCCCCACCCTTTGGTGAGGGGCTGACCAGTACCCTGCAAATCTGGAAAGCCCAATGAATCCGAATCTGGATTCATTGCAATGCAGCAGACTCGCCCAGGACACAGCCCACCCAACCTCACTCATACACCCAAACAAGCCATCGCTCTAAATATAGGCCTCCCCTCATCCATTGCAACAGCTTGTACAAAAAAGGCTTTAAATAAAGGCAGGCAGCCCTCCAGGACATTTGCTGAATGCCCATGTATAATATATTCTTGTTACTTACCACAGTTATTGATTAAAGGCTTGTTTCCTAGAATAGGCTTCTTATGTAAATAAATTAATATATTCTTAAATTATATCACAGATGTCCATAAAATCCTAATTATATCAAACTCATAACATTGTAATTACACACTGATCAAGTAATTATGTAGTGTGCTTAAACACTATTTTGGAGCAACATTAGGTTTCTCATTTTGTTTTACTTAAATAAGACAGCAAGGGTCTGGTCACCATCACATCCACAAATGGTGACCAGATTTTGTACAGGCTAGGAAAAAATTCTATTAAACTATTCTGCAAAGCTATAAAAAAAATTTAATAGCTATTTCCAATAGACTTCATTAAAGCAAGAATTTCCAAGGGAAAACATTCCTATAAAAATAACCTCTACCATACATCCCTATAAGAACATGTTCCACAACTGGCAAGAATTCATGAAATTGAAATAGCACAAGAAAATGCCCCTTCAATGATCCAGCTGAAGCCAACTCTTCCCTTGGTTTGTTAGGAAATTGAAGAAAATTTCCACTGAGATTTTACCTCAGCTGCAGCACTGAGAGATGCCAGAAAAAGAGCACCTGGACAGTTTCATCCTTTTTATCACAAACAAATTAAACTGTTTCTAGAATTACTCAAAATGTTTTATATCTTACTGAGGGTGTTACACAGAATGTAACATTTTCTCAAACAGGGGTAATTGCACTCTCCTTTAATCTCACGGTTCATCACTTCCAAGTTAGAACAATCAGTTCATGACATCTCTTAAGCAACTTGAGATAAAAAAACTCTGTAAATTCATATTTTGGTTAAATTAAAGGACTAATATGGGTGCACACAGATTTGCCAGCTCATAAAGAGGACCAGCTGTGAAACATGGCCTCATTTTCTTCTTCAGTAATTTGACTTTCCTGTTACCCCCAGAAGAGTAGACAGCCAGATCCCAAAGACAAGAATCAGCACTTGTTTAATTCTGGATATAATTCTCTTTTCTTCCTAAAGATGCATGACCTTATTTGCAACCCACATTTCCATCAACTATAGCAGTCTTATTCCACCTGTTACCAATTTGTTTATATTGTAATCAGACCACATTTCCTTTTAATCTTTCAAGCAAGGTTTACACTATTTTCATTTGTTCAAATGTTACATATGAAATATTTTCCATCTTAATTAGATTAATTCTTTCAGAAGCCATGAACTTCCATGCCATCTGTCTTGACATCAGATGCACCAACAGTTTTTCACCTGTCAACATAAAATTATCAATGGCACCATGAAATATAGGAAGAAGGGAAAATCTGTTCAAAGTCTTGCAAATGCAATGCCCCAAAGATAAAAAGTGAGGAAGATTTAACATGAAGGCACAAGTTTTTCTGGTTACATTTTCCAGCAATTCCCTGCATAGCCATGGAAATGAATCACTGCCTGGCTAACCTGAGGTGTTAAGCTGAGCAGATCAATGACAGTGGTAACTTGCCAAGATGGACCTTTGCTCTAAGCAAGCAGGAATGGCTATCACTGGCACCGTAACCAAGTAAACAGAACTACAACAAAGAAGGACAACAGGATAAAACAGGATCAAGAGCTGCACAGGTGAAAGCAACAACGACAAAAATAAAAACTTATTATAGCCAACCTAAGCTCTTACACAAAACCATGTATCTGTGAATCATCAACCATTCAGTATTTAAAGAGCACATGACTGGAAGGTCCCCATATGTGAAAAATATTATTATCAGGGAGTCTACAGTAACAGTGGAATAAAGCTTGCTATTAAGACTTTTATATGAACTGTTCTTAAAGAGAAAATTACTCACTGACCCATGTCAGAACCCTGAAAATTGATGGCTTCTCAGAGGAAGAAAAAGCAGTAAGTACCAAAAAAGCTTTTGAAAATAATCAATAATCATCAGATCTCATCTCCAAAAAGAACAGTTCTCAATTGACATTAACAATAATCCAATCTTGATATTTATTTGCAACTTACCAGTCTGTTAATTAGCCCCAAGGCTAAACAGCAATTAATCCAGCCTAATCACCCTTGTTTAAAGGAACATTACCCAATACCAGCCTTTAAATAATAAAAATTCATTTAAAATGAGATGGATGGCCATGACATTGAAATGTTAGGAGACTGCTCTGCAATCACTGCCCTTCACTTCCCCCAAGTGCTGCTAAAATGAGCAACTTATTAAGAATTGTCATCAATTGCTGCCCAACGTGCAGTGAAAACAGCAGATGCTGGGCAAGCCTCTCCCCATGGCCATGCACAGTGAGGACAGACACATGCAACGTTCCTTTCCTCCGCTGACAACCTGATTTCCACTCAACAGATGTCGTATAAATTACTCTGCATTAGAGGGGCAGCAGCCTAAAATAGTTCAACTTCACATTTTCTGGTTAGTCCTACCAGATCTGGCCAGCAAGACCAAACTCCCTCTGAAATAACATCTAGATTCAGGGGCTATTGCATTACCACCTGATGAGTAACTGAAATTTGACCAGCCACATCCACCCTGCAGCATGTGAACTTCAAAACCAGCCCTCTGGTGCTAAATTGGCTCGAGTTTTAAGTAGGTACCACTGAGCTCTGGTTTCATAACCGCACATGCAAAGATCTCCAGCATGTGTGAGCCTTTGCCTGCGCTGTCCCCCTGAGAGCTGGTGACATTTCCTCTTGGTGAAGAAGCTGAAGGTTTCCACGGGGGCAGTTGATGGCTGTGCTTGTCCCACATGAGCACAATGAGGAGCAAGAGCTAATCCTGAAGGGAAGATGTATCACTTGAGCTGTTAAGTGCTTTAATATAAACTGAGCTGGTCTGGGCTATTTTTGCTTTAGAAATTGTTGTATCCTTCACTCGAGCCTGCTAACAGGCTTGATTCTACTCCTTATCCTTTGTATACCCTGTGCTTGGGGACTCCAGCCTGCCAGCCTCTGTAAGAAAGCAGAGTGGATTTCCAGGGAATAGAAGAGGGTGCAATATTTAGTATAGACCCACTTCTTAGACAGGGGTTTTTAAGCACCCCACTGTTTTATTTTTAAGCTGATTTTCCTGACACCAGACATGTCTGTGAGGGCTCCTCTGCTGCACGGTACAAGCTGCACAAGGTACCACTAGGAACAGGCATGCACACGCCAGCAGACAGGTTTCCATTCCTTAACCCAATTTATCTTCTTCCCTACTTAGGGCCTACACAAAAACTACAAAAAGTTTGTCCCAATACACAACATCAACTTGAACACTAAATGGCTAGAAGTAAGTTGTGACTAAGAAGCTGTTTCCTTCTGTTAGATGTTATTCTCTTGAACTGTAAAGCTGTTAAGTTCACAGATGGTTATGCCAACAGCAAACTGTTAGAAATTCCTAGTTGGTACCTCTCCTTACCTCCACTGAAAAGGATGGCTGTAGCACGGACTAGATGGATTGCTCTGGGCTTTTGAGTTCAGGTAAAATACTAGAGGAGAAGTGACAAGTGCACAGTCAGCACTAAATGGGAATTTAAGATGCTGCAGACCTGGAGCAGATGTAGGAGAGAACATGTGCTGATGAACATCATTTCCTCGGCAGTGGGAGAACAAAGGAGAGGAGATTCTGACAAGGTACCACAGTAGAAAAGAAAAAATCAGGGTCAATATCACATCTTCTGTTTCAATAAAGAAAAAAGATAATTCCAAAATACAAATTATATCTTCTAAACAAATGCAATAAACTAAGTGGTCAAAAGTAATTCCTTTCCATTGTCATCCAAACCAAAATGTATTTTTCAGTCAATTCAATATCTATTCAACGTTATTTTCCACTACAAAAATCCTCCAATCTGGAATTATCCAAATCCTTTCTTGCAGTGATTTCCAGGCTTTCTGGAATACACACCATTGTCAATCTCTAATATAAAATGTTTAATTGAGAAAAAAGAACAAATTGGTAATGGCACCAGCAGCAAACACAGACCATTTCTATCACTGCCTTCACAATTTGGGAGCCATGGTTCTATGCCACGGCTGTGGCAATAACCGAAACACACAACTGTGAAAATATGAATTACACAAACCATTAACTAGAAAACAACATTTAGCAGTGGCAGTTGTTTTAGAGCAACAACTCATTAAGCCTGAAAGCAGCACTGCAAAATGGCTTTATTCTGATTTTAGCAGTGGGGAAACTGAGGCACGAAGAGGTTAAGTGACGTGCACAGCACATCCATGGTAGCATCAGGATTGCAGCTGAGGGTGCTGATGCCCAGCTCTGTGCTCAGCTCTGTGAACTACCCTGCTTTTGCAGGGTCAGCAGCCAAGGCACATTTGTATTCACACAGGGCACAGAAAAGGTCTCAAAGTAGCTGCTTTTCAAAAAGCTGCAAACAGACTTGGACATAAACACAGAGCAGAGGTTCTAACACCTACTTTAGTGAACTATACACGATGAGATGTCCTTCACTAGAAATAAAGTAAAAGTTAACTTACAATTATTGGTATTACAAAGTGTGCTTATGTGTTAGAATACAAATTAGTGCCACTGTATTCTTACACCTGTAACTTTGATTGTTGACCTAGGGCTGAAAAAAAGTTTCTATTTACCATACTTCAACACAAAAGTGGGAAAAACGGCAACTTGAGGCAGGCTCCAGTTTTGTTTAGAATTCAGATATTTTACATTTAGAGTCCTGAAGTCAAGCATGTTTGCCTATGTTCCTAGCTTTAAATTTCCTGATTAATTCAAATACTTATCAGTAAAGCAACCTTTACATACTGGAAATCCTCTCCACCAGCAATCTCTGCTTAAACAGCTGATGAGCTTTACAGTCTGCAGACAGAAAAGGTTAAGCCTGCCTCTTACCCTGCTCCTCCCTCCACTGACTACACAACAGATTCTTTTCACCTCCTCTACTTATGAACACAGTATTAAATATACAATTTCCTTGAATTTACCTAATAGAAATAATAAATATAATTATGAACATCATAAATAGAGGTTTCAATTAGTAGATTTCAAAGCATTTATAAAGGACACAAGCATTAAAAAGGAAATGCTTGTTAAAATTCCATTTGTAGAAATACATGTGGCAATGTAAGTTAAGACTTCTTGCTTCAAATCTAAGAGTTTGCAGTAACATTCTTAATTCTAGGAGATAGGAAAGGCAGCAAAGGTTTCTGAAGATTTTAACACTTTGACAGCTTTCTGACAGATTATTAAAAGTGCTTTTTAAATCTAAAGAATGATCAAACTAGAAAGACAGAGTTACAAACATTCAGTTTTAATACACTAATGCTTGGGACAAAACCTAACCACAATGTATCCCAGCTAAAAACATCGCTTTTTTTTTTGGCTATACTTCATGGTTAATACTTCACGCAAAAGTAAAATGTTAATGTTTCCAAAAAAAAAAAAATTGTGTACAGCCAAATAAGCATAACAGATAAGGAAAGTTCTAACAAATCAAAGCGATGTCTATCGGCCACAGAAAATTCTGGCCGGTTTTCTCCTCTTAGCTTCAATTTGAAATGATTAAGTGCAATTTATTTTTCACAACAGTCCTTACTGGATCCGCAGAGATGGGGCTCCAAGCCTCTGTTTCCTCCGCTTCATCATTGTGCTGATACACTGATATGCCTCTTCCCAGCATAAGAGGCTTAGAGCTGGGAAGGAGAGGCCACTGTTATCACTCCAACGCAGAGCACGGAACAATCAGTGCAATTCCAAGCTCTTCATATCCCCCCAGTGTCAGAGAGACCTCGGGAGTTCAGTAATGGTCCAGATTAATCACACAGCTCATGTCAAAAACCTAATTATTTATAAAAATTAAAAAAAGAAAAAAATTCAGATTAAAAAAAAATCTTCTGCGAGCCTATTGACAGCATCCGGCGAAAGGAAAGGGAGCGCAGCAGAAGGAAGGGAAGGTGCCGACAGCACACAGAGCCTGACCCGTCCCAGCAGCGCTCCTGCCACAAGTCAGCCACCAACTCCGGGGCTGCCAGGAGCAGGAGCGGCTCCCTCAGCGAGCCCAAGGGAGAGCGGAAAGCCAAGGGCGGCGATGGCAGACGCCAAAGGATTCTGGCAGGGCTGTGACAGCCGGGAAGCTCCCGGGGCGATGGAGCACAGGCAGCGCTCGCACCCAGAGCCTGGCGGAGCGCTCAGCGCCTCAGCAGCTGCTCCCGGCCCCCTGGACACGTGAACCGGCCCTCGGGCAGAAATCAATCCCCTCAGCTACACAAAACATCTTCCCCTAACTCCCAAGCTGTGCTCCAGACACAAACTTCATGGATTCCAGCACCGAGAACGGAGCGGCGGCGCTCCCAGCAGCCTGGGGAGCCGGATGCTGCAGGGGAGGAAGGGGGAGAACACCTTCACCAGGAGGAAATGTTCCCTTCACACTTCTGCTTGCAAACAGCAGCTTCAACCGGCTCAAAATCCATTCTGCCTCAAACGATGTCCAACATTGTTTAAATTTGTGTTTGTAAGAATGTTACTTTCTCCCAAAAAGTTTCTAGATATAGATATAGATATAGATATAGATATATAGATATAGGTATAGATTAGATATAGATATAGATATAGATATAGATATAGATATATAGATATAGGTATAGGTATAGGTATAGATATAGATATAGATATAGATATAGATATAGATATAGATATAGATATAGATATAGATATAGATATAGATATAGATATATACACACACATACACACATACATATGCTTATTAGGCTTCAAAGTGCTAAAGGCTGTATTTAGGCTGCCATTCACAAGTACTCAGCAAGCAAATCAAATTCCAGGTGACAACTCTGACCTTCAGACCCTCCCATGATTCTGACTGAAGCCCCACAGTACAAAATCCCAATCTCTCAGCAATTAGGAAAACCGAGTGCCAGGCTGAGGAGGAAGAGCCAGGGTGGCTGTTCCTTACACAACCAATGCTCCTGCCCCCCACGCCGTGCCTCTGGAGAAAGACAGCACAGCAAGCAACAAAAAGTACAAATTTGGTATGCTACATATAATTCTATTGTACCTATTAAATGAGAGTCTGGATTAAGTAGTGGAAACTTGACAATGAAAACTGCACAAAATACTTTTTCCACTTTTAAATCCTAGATGAAAACCTCCATAAATTCTTTGTCTCTGAGATTACAGTCTATACATAACACTAAAATACTCCTGATTCACCAAATCACTTCTTTTAAAGAAAACAATGCTTTCAAATTATTTTTAAAATCTAATACAGGAATAGCAGCACTGGTGTGGAGCCCCACAAGAATAATTCTGCATGTTCCACCTCCAGAACCAGCCCCATGGATCAGCTTAAGAGCAGCAGGTTATTTCTGACCTATTGCTTGTGAGCTGTTTCTACAAGCTCAGAGAAGGATGGACTGGTCAGAAGAGTGCAGCTCTCTCTCCCCATCTATGTAAGGCACCACAAGCAGAATGCAGTGACTGGAGGCATTATTTCTTACTTTATTTCCAGATCCAAATCAGAACAGAGTGCAAAAGCAGCAAAAATCCCTACTCCTTTTCAGAACCATTTTTCATCCACTTCCTGCACTTTGGCTTTCCCACTCTTGGGACAGTGGCACTTGCTCCTGGCAGGGAAACAGCATCGATCCATCACCAGCAGAAACACTCACCCGCCAAGACGAGCAGAAACTGAATTATATACTCCATTTCTCTGCAGATACAGAGGAAATTCCCACAGCACCTGAGCACGGCAGCACAAAGACAAAAAGCACTAAAGGCCAGAAATTTTCTTTCCTGCCATCAAACTTCTTACTGTCTCCGAGGTCTAAACATTCAAAAGAATACAAGTAGTTCAGCACGTCCCCCCAAAGAAATTCCTTGGTGTGTTTCGTGTTATTTTACTGCCAAGAAGCTGGGGGTAAGTTTAAGAAATTTTGATGAAGACTTGTTTAATGAAACCCCCTCAGAAATGTTGAGGGCAGCAAAAAGCAAGAACCTTCAGAGGTTTAAAGTGGAATGGTAGTGCAGAGAAGGAGGGAGAGAATGAGAGAAAACAACTCCCACAGGGGACATCCACTGCCTTAAAAAGTGATTAGAAGGAATAAAGACAACCATAAAAGGCTTGCACACATCTTCAGCAAACACTTTTATGTTGCTTACCATATTTCAGAGATAGACATAAAAACTTCAGGTAAATACTACTCTTTACCAGCACCAATCACCATCGAAACAACAATCTGCAATACTTGGTTCATATAAAGGTGTATTTTCACTGGCTATATTCTGGATTAAAACTATTTTGTCATGTTTCTTATGCCTCCATTTTATTTTTCCACTTGTATACAGCCTTTTAAAGTATATTTAATACAGGTGGTTGATATTCATAGCAGGAAATAATTAACAAAAAACAACTTATAGCTGAAGTTAGAAACTGGTTTAGCCAATTTAGTTTGCTGAGGAAATTACTCTTTTCAAATTTGGATATAAAATGGAAAAGCCATATTTTTTTTTTTTAGAAAATTTTACATTTAGATAACACAAAAATTACAGCAACCCACACCATGAACCCTGCCTTAGAAACCATGAGGATTTAAAATATAAACCCACATTTTTCATTAAAAAGCCTGAACAGGTCAATAAGGTTCATGCTATAAAGAAGTGAATTTGTTATTAATTTATTATTACTGGGGTACTGAACAAGAAACCAGATGGCTCAAGGGCAGCCCCAACTGGATTTAATGCTCAGCCAAGGAGGCAAGCAGAAGCAATAGTGAGCTCCAGGCTCACAGGGCATCCTGCAGCCACAATGAAATGCAGTTTGCTGCTTCATCTTCTGGGTGCTGAACTGCTCTTAAACACATAACAGAAACACATCAGAGATGTTTCACCAAGGGATGCTCCTGCTGCAAAGTCCCCACCTTTGTCTTTTCAAGTCTGGGATGTCTCTGCTGCGATTCACGTGCAGGTGCACATCAAACCCACGTGAAAGCTGCAGCCAACAATACAAAAACCAATCTCTGCTCAGAGAACAGAACAGGATAATGGCTGAAAATAATTAAATCACTTCAACTAATAGGCTGGAGATCAAAGTTTGAGTCTATTGCTCCACATTCGCTATTTGAAACTAAAGAAAATATTCATGAATGGTAATTATTTCTTTTGTGAACAAAGCATGGGGAAAAATATAACCAATACATTTATATGCATAATTCATTAAAGGAAAACTTTGAACTCTGATTATTGAACCACACCAGAGACAAAATATAACTACTTACTCCTGTTCTCTAACTACTCAGTCTCTTAGCAGCCTACAACTCAGCTGAGTATCATCTCCTTTAGTGCATTAAACATAACCCCCTACAGAAACACAAACACTTTAAGCACATTAACAACAAAATGGTATCTAAATTATCAGGCATTTCTCTTAATGTCACCCTACATACAATTCCCCCATCTGTTTTACATGTCTGCTCACTCTGTGCTGATTATTTCAAAATTAGGATTGCAAGATACCCAAGAGTAAAGCCATCCTTTACAGCATGCCTGTGTTTCCTTCCTAATATGGAAACAGTCATCAACACTCATCAACAGATTTCACAGGCTCCATCCCACCACTCATTCTCTTCAGCTCCCATCCAAGCCAACACAGGCTTCTTTAGGTGACAAAATTTCTCATGTTCCCCTGACAAAACAGTGAGACATGTAACTCCACTCCATTTCATTAGCACAAATAAGCACAGCAACTCTTGTTGTCCCTGCTTATAATCAGCTCCTGCAATAAAATAGAGATTATCCACACCAACCCAGGAAATATGAAGTATTGAGAGTCAAACAAAGGAAAAGTTAGAAGCATTGTCAGGAATAGCTCATACTTTTCCATTCAGCAATGACAAATACCCAAGCTGATCCGCAGGCTAAAACCTTTCTAACTCAACAATCTAGCAAAGCAATCATCAAACCAGCAGCAATTGTCAAGTCCTCATTCTGTTTCTGGCAGGCTGGAAATAATTACTGCCTCCCCAAATATGATTTTTTACTGAAGTGCGCCCCAACCTCCAGACTAGCACACAAAAAAATGCTGAGTGGCTGATTTTTGTATCTAATTCAATTGCTACTGAACTGCTACAAAGGCTGGAGTTTGTGCAGAAAATGGATGCACCTCTTGAGGGTTTCTGGCTCCAAGCCAGGTACTTCATCCTCCTGTCCATTCCTGCTTCTGCTTCTGTCGGTGAACAAAAGTCAGTGACAGTCAATGAATCAGGACATGGCTACATCCATAACTATCCCTGCTCATCAGCCACAGCACAACTGCAGCTTTCCACATTCAATTTTATTTTTGGAATTTACTTTTGCTTATGAGGTTCACTGTTGATTCAGAGGAAAAGCCTCCAGAGGAACTGAGAACTGCCTACAATTGTGATGCCACCCTTTTAGACAGAATGCTTGAACAAATTTATACATAGTATATGTATATTTTTACCTTATATTACACACATCTATTTTAATTATTCCCTTGATATAAATTTCTCTCATTTCTAATTCAAAATCTAAGAGGATTTTTTTATTTTGCATCAAGTAAGCACTCTGATATTGGGATATGCAAAATCATGCAGATCAACTCAGCAAGAGCCTTTTCAGTCAGCCTGTACACTTCATAGCACAGCACCCACACAGCTCTACATCAGCCACAAGGCACTGCTGACTTCATGAACAGCTAAAACTTCTCAAACAACAAGACATCATTTGGTTTTGGACTACACTTGGTACTTGACTATAGAATCTGTAATTCCAGAAACTACAATCAAATAACACAGGCAACTAACACATTTCAGTTCTTCATAGATTGTTAGTCTCACTAATAGCTGCAACCTTGTGCTTAAAATTTATGGCCTGGATCTTCTTGACACAGGTTGCTAAATTTCTACACATAGTGACAGCTTAAAAGGCACTCACTTGTGGAAGAAAACTAAAGCGAAGTAATGAAAATTGCAGGAGTTAAGCAATACAGAAATAAAATATTCAGTCATTTGGTTTAGTTACCAGTAATTAAAACATTACACATCTGAAGATCTTCATTTGTATCTCAGATACCTCAAATAAAAGTATAATAAACAGTCTTGTGTCATACCCACCTCCATGCTGGAATGAGCTGGAATATCTCTGGCATCCTCAATTTCAATTCCAAAAGTTTTGTGCAAAAATATCTAAGTTACATTAAACAAAAAACTTACTGGTAACTCACTGCTCCACTATCTGATCAAAGAACCTTCATAATCTTCAAATGATGAACACCACCTGTCTAAGAAATCTCTCAAATCGTGTTAAGCCAGCCTTTGAGGCATACTGGTTAAAAAAACCCAAAACCAGTCAGTGCTTCATGTTCTTTAAATAACTCCCTGATTGGTTTATCACTGTCATATGAACTAAACAAAAAGGTCTGGTCATGCCCTACTTTTAAAAAAAGACCTTTTGATCCTCTGTATTGTTCAACACTGAATCACTAGCTCTGCACAGCATTTTCCAAACACTGTTTCTTATACAAAGGGGATAGCTTACACTGAAAGACTGAAAATAATTTCTCATTAGAACCAGAAACCTGAGGAAGAAAGGTTATAAGCTTTTGTGAGCTTCATGTCTGTAGTCTACAAGCTTTGGGAAACAATTTTAAATCATAATGCATTAGCAGGCAGTACAAAAGCTTTCTCTTTTATATAATGCAATCAATAATGCAATTTCTTCCACCATAAATCTGTAAGCATAGCAGAAGCTTAACTCACATAATACCACTGAAACACAAGTTAGTTTGCTAAAATTCTTTAAGCATCATAATGCATTAAAAATTTTTGCTGTTTGTTTAAATCACAGTTTTAAAAGCCTACTTTTCCTGACATGTACTACTTTATTGAGATACCTCTATCAGGCTGGCTGCTCCACAAAAACCTGACCTGTGTGGCTCAGAAGCTGTGTGCTTAGACTTCTGTCAACAGACTGTTTGAAGAGCAGTGATCAAAGTTGTCTATATTGCATAAATAATCAGTGACTCCTCTGGAGTCACCTCAGCGATGCCGGGGTGGCAACACTCAACACCGCAGCTACTTCAGTATCAGGATCAGCTCAAGCTGGTAATTAGAAGTAAGCTTACACTACCACTGCTTTTCCTGCTACACTTAAGGAAATGAATACAGGCTTCAGTCTCAGAGAAATCCAAGATAGCTCTTTCCAAGCTCATGACAGATTCTTGAAAATGCTGAAGAGAAAAAACAGAGCATCTGCCCATCTAAATTGCTTCCACAACTGAACAGCTATATATGTTCAAAACAAACCAAGGGATGAATAAAGAATAATTATACTTACAAGCTTCCTCTTCTGGGGAGACTGAGCTCTTTCTGGAAAAAAAAAAAAAAAAAAAGAATGAAAACTTTGAGTTAATTTTACTTTTTATTATATATTACTAATTTATTTATCAATAAATGACTGAGGTGGAATGAATGAAGAGCTGGCCATTTTCCAGCGCATGCTCAGTACAGAACTGCACAGCTTTGCTGCTGCACATTCACAATGCACAGTCTGGGGTACAAAAGTTGCTCAGTTTGCCTAAACAATCATTGCCTTTGGAGTCAAAAAATCATAAGCACTCAACAGAGCAAACATAACTTTGAAGTTCAAGCCTGAGCATGGATAAGGCAGTAATTAATTCTGTCCTACATACCTCATCAGCATCAGACCGAACCACTTCAAGAAGTGTGGAACGTGGTATGCCTGCAGCTGCTGCAGTATGGATTCACACTCTCACCAAAAGGAAGAGTAATGCCATAGAGTGAATTTTGGGGGTGATTTGGGGTGGTTTGGTTTTTTTCTTTTAAACATACACATTAGTTGTGTTATGTATTATCACAAAACTTCGAGGCCAAACACAACTTCCACTTTTCAGCAGCATTTTGTGTTTCAGCAGCACAAGCAAAGGCAGACAGGGGATTTTGCGGTTTTTACTGCAGTCGATAGCCCGGGGGCATCCCCAGGCGTGGACATTGCTGGACACGGAGCATCCCCCGGCACTGTCAGGGATGGGCACGGAGCATCCCCCGGCACCGCCCGGGCTGGACACGGAGCATCCCCTGACACTGTCAGGGATGGACACGGAGCATCCCCCGACACTGTCAGGGATGGACACGGAGCATCCCCCGGCACTGTCAGGGATGGGCACGGGATATCCCCGGCACTGCTCATCCTCCGGCACTGTCAGAGACGGACATGGGGCATCCCCCAGCACTGCCCACCCCGGCTCTGCCCACCCTGGCATGGCACTGCCCANAGGTGGCAGCCGCGGCCGCCGCCCCAGCCCCGATTCTGGGGGTTTTATCCTTAAAACATCGGCACGGGCTGTGCTCGTCCCCGGCTGCTGCCCTTCGGCTGAGCCCAGCAAGCAGCAGCACGGCCAATACCAACTGCATGTCTACTGATCTACGGCATGTGTTTCTCATCCCCTCTAAGAAAAATAAATAAATAAATAAATAAATAAATAAATCTGTGTTTTCACTGAATATTGAAGAAAAAAAAATCAATAGGAAAAAAAAATCTAATCCATAACATTGGTAAGGTAATCTCTTTTCCATCTTTAGCTACAGTGTTTGTGCTGACTGACATGACTAACAATGTCATTGACAGGCAGTGACTGGCCTGATACATGGGATTTGGCTTAAAGTTTTTCAAATATACCAAAAACTTACAGCCACTAACAACTAATAATTAAATAAATAACTCTTACATGCTATCATTCTTTTCAAGTATGAGTTCTCCATAATTTGAAATTTCATTAGAGTTTAACAGTACTGAGCAAATTCCATGTGTGAATTATCGCAAGGCTGACAGCTTACAGCATCAAGAAATAAATTCCTGTCGTCAGACAAACTTGTCAAGATCTAATCAAAACACTTCAAGTGCGTAAGATAATAAATCACTAGCATCTATAACAGGTTGTGTGGTTTATATTCTAAAAAAGGTACTTCTTCCACTCTCATTTGTTAGAAAGAATTAGTTTCCAACTGTGAAGCTTAGTTAGCAAAGACAGCTTTTTGTACTGCAAATGAATAAAAAACCAGGTAAGATATAAGTATTATATGTTGTTCTGCTTGTGTGGATAGTGTGTTACTTAGACATGCGTATAAATCTTTTTCATCATATGAGCAGCTGTATTTAATTTATGCTTTTTTAAGATGGCATCTCTTGGCAGAAGGCATTTTTTCTATTCAAATGACACATTTCTATTTATTCCAACACAGTAAGCCCCAGAAATTTTTAGAATGTATGTATAAAGCTCTGGAATTTCATAGTACTGGATGAAAAAGCAGTGACCTTTAATTCTTTCTAACTACCTTCTAGTTTTTGAACTTCCAGGGTTCATTTTTACAAGCTTTGCTCTAGTCATTAGAGCTGAAAAGTCATTTAAAGAGAGAACACTCCATTGCAGCAGCACAGCTCTGGTAATTGTGACTTGTAATTACCAGATATACATCACAAGAAACACGGTCCAGGAACAGGAATGGACAAATCCTTTCCTTTACAGAACGCTTGCTTTACTTGAACAATATGACCTTTAATACCTCCTGTAATGTAGGTAATTCAGGATTAAATGCATGCAAGGTTAGGAGGAAGAGTGCCTGGGGCTTTGTTCCTGAAAGCATCCCTTGGAAACCGAGTTTCCAAATAGGGAAGGAACAAAGTCCTAGCAGATGACATCTCAATGCAATTGAAATATTATCCTGTCCATGTAGGAATTGTCTTCATTCTGCACCTCCACCTTGGCAAACACAGTGCAGCTGAGGAATCAATAGGCAGTAGTTCACATTTAATACCACTGTGGTCTTGACAACAAAGAGCACAATCAAAACAATCAATTTTTATACCTGTTGTTCCACTATGGCTCATTTCATGTTAGTCTTAAAATCCCCTTCACAAACCCTTCCAGCCACACAGCCCACCAAGTCCTGGCCTCTGCAGCACATCCCCTGTCCTCTGGAGAAATGACAATGCACCCTCCCAGCTCTTCGCCCCCTTCTGCCTCTCCAGAGCTGGTAACAGCCCCTATAATCCCCCAAAACAGACCATCAACAGTGGGGCCAAGGCAAAAGCACCAGAGCTGGACATAACACAACCCCGAGCAGTGTAATTATGAGATTTGCTTTTCCCAAATCACCAGGGAGTTTGTGTGTGAAGAAGTTACATCCCAGAGAGAAAATGCCTGGAGATGGAAAGAAGGAGGGAGCAGACTGCAAACAGCTGCTGAGCTATTTCCTATTTGAGGATGCTCACTGCCAGGAGAACGCTGCAGACCTCCAGGGGATCAAGTGGACAATGAAAACGCCTCCCAGAGATGGGGATACACTCACAGGGTCGAGACTCAACTGGGTCTTACGACAGCTGAACACTTCAATGTGTGCAATGGGACAAACTGAGAGTTTGTATCTTATAATGACAGGGTGATTTCAAACGTATGAAGTAGCACTACAGAAACTGTGATTCAGTAATTATGAAAAATGTAAGAGAAAAGTCCAACAGCATGTCACAAGCACCCTATAAAGGTTAAAGTCTACTCAGAATCATATATAGTATCATTTATAACAGAGATTAAATCTTTTAGTTAGTAAATTATGAGGTAGGTGGTATGATTTAACTGGTTTCCACCCATACCACAAAGGAGTTTGGCATTACATGTCCATGTATCCTGAAAAAATAAATCACATTTTAAGAGGTGAGATAACTAATAAAAGAGTGCTGAGCAGTGACTACTTGGTCTGAAACAATATTTACAGGGTGCAGCTGTAATCCTTTCAATATGCTAGTTTATCCTGAAGGACATTTTTCATTAAAGACCACCCTTCTGACGAGAACAACACATGAACCTGCAAGATTCCAAACTGCCCCTTCTGACAGCACATCTGCCTCCCTGAGCACTTGTGCTGCCAGTAGCTATATTTATATTACCATTATTACTCCAGCCAGCCTCCATGCCACCTGCTCTCTAGGTCAATAATATAACCCTCAAAACAGAGGCTTACATTTATATTTGATTTATATGAAGTGCTAAATAGCATAAGAACATTTTAAAATATTGGTGCACATTATTCACAAAGAACTTTCAGAAGTGGAAATAAAGAAGTACTTTCACAGATCCAAAAAAATAAGGAGTATATTAAATCTTGCAGTACCCAAATGACAGGAACAGACTGTTCTGGAAGTTAATTTTTTGTACCACTTCCACATTTCAAGGCATAATTATTAAACATGCAACTTGATCTCTACATGACAAAAGAAGCAGCAGATTTTCAGACAAGCAGTTGAAAAGGAAACTTGGGAAAGAAATTCAGCATCACGGAATTTATAAAAAGATGATTCAAATAACTGCCTTCAAAAGAGTTCCTTATATTTCCTTTTATCTTAAGTTCATCACCTCAATCATAAGGCTATAAAATCAGTTGGACACCATATCATGCTACAGAAGAGGTTTCACAAAAGGACTCAATCCTCATTTTACAGGCAGCAAGGAGGCTGAAAGAGAAAAAATACCAGCCATTTTAAAGATCATTTGGCTGCTTGCAAAATATATTGTTCAGTACAGAGATACTGAAAAATTTATTCAGTTGTGGTTTTTTATATACAGAAACTGCATCTGAAAACAGGAATGTTTCAGGCAGCAGGAAGAGCGCTGGCTTTTTGCATAGGTGTGTGCACACAATATGGAGCGGAAATAAAGTCTGGAAATCTATTTGTTCATTGACCTACAATACAACCCACATCGTTCCAGCAGATACGTGATGTTATAAAAGTGAGAAAAAACAGGAACCCATCACTCAAATTTGTCACTTTCTCTCAGTCTTGTAATTTGTCCTTGAATATGTATCTGCGCATATGGCACAGACCCACAGGCAAAGTTGGATGCTGGAGCCTGCACTGATGGCAGCTTAAATGGAGTCTTTGCAAATTAAAATGAGAACCATCACCACACAGGATGTTCCATATTTTTGCCAGAGCAGACAGCATGATTCCTGAGATTGCTTTTGACCTTGGCTCCCTTGCAAGGTAGCTCACTATCATACCAGTTGGGACAATAGACAAATATTTTTACAGCTATAAGAGCAAATACATTTCAGTTAATAAGTTAATATTTCACAGATGATGAAATTCCACTGACAGTCAGTGACCTGGTACCATGCACTCTTGTTTTAATTTTTTTTCCTTTGCTGACTATGTTTGCTTTAGGGTATACTACCAACCAGCAGGGGATTAATTAAATCTCCTTCTATACATAACCATTTGCATTACAGAAATGATATAATGAGGGTTGGAATCTCCAATTCTGATGGAAACTACAACCTGGCCATGCAAGGAC